TGCCAACTAGCGATCCGGCGGCGTTATTCCCATGACCCGCCGGGCAGCGTCCGGGAAACCAAAGTCTTTGGGTTCCGGGGGGAGTATGGTTGCAAAGCTGAAACTTAAAGGAATTGACGGAAGGGCACCACCGGGAGTGGAGCCTGCGGCTTAATTTGACTCAACACGGGAAACCTCACCCGGCCCGGACACGGAAAGGATTGACAGATTGATAGCTCTTTCTCGATTCTGTGGGTGGTGGTGCATGGCCGTTCTTAGTTGGTGGAGCGATTTGTCTGGTTAATTCCGATAACGAACGAGACTCCGGCATGCTAACTAGTTACGCGGCCCCGTGCGGTCGGCGTCCAACTTCTTAGAGGGACAAGTGGCGTTCAGCCACACGAGATTGAGCAATAACAGGTCTGTGATGCCCTTAGATGTCCGGGGCTGCACGCGCGCCACACTGAGTGGATCAGTGTGTGTCTACCCTTCGCCAAGAGGCGTGGGTAACCCGCTGAACCCCACTCGTGATAGGGATTGGGCATTGCAATTATTTCCCATGAACGAGGAATTCCCAGTAAGCGCGGGTCATAAGCTCGCGTTGATTAAGTCCCTGCCCTTTGTACACACCGCCCGTCGCTACTACCGATTGGATGGTTTAGTGAGGTCCTCGGATCGGCCCCGCCGGGATCGGTCACGGTCCTGGCGGAGTGCCGTGAAGACGATCAAACTTGACTATCTAGAGGAAGTAAAAGTCGTAACAAGGTTTCCGTAGGTGAACCTGCGGAAGGATCATTACCGGTTTTCCCCCATCCATCCGTGGAGAAAGGAATAAACAAAAAAACCCAAAGCCGAGGGGGCAGGCAGGTCCGAGGGGAATGAAAGAGGTATTGAATTAAATACAAGCGTAACACAATAGCAAGAAAAAAGTGTCCGAACCATTTTCAATCCTGTAAAAATGTTTTTGCTTGGACAAAAGATTTCTGTTTGGTTAAGCGGCACTCGATCCCTCTGCCAGCTGAGACAAGAATTTGTGTTTTGTTTTATAAATATTGTTATTTCCTGTTTTTTCTTTTACCTTTCTTACAAATGTTTGCATTGTACAGCTTCTTGAAACTCTTGTACTAAAAGGCGCTTCGTAAATAAAGTTGACTGTTACAACTAGTGTGACTAACAAAGAGTTCGGTCATCAGAGCAGCTACCTCTGGTTTCCATCGGGGGTCCGCGTTGCTCCATCATCGGGGGACCTCTGGGGTCGCCCATCATGTTGCGTGGTTCACCCATCGGTGGGCATCTCATGTCCATTGGAGGGCCTCTCATATCCGGGGGGGGCCCTCCTGCCATGTGTACAGGTGGGGCTCCTGCCATGTGTACAGGTGGGGCTTGGTGGGGTGGGGGGGCTGCCATGTAAGGCCGGCTGAATACAAAACAGAGACAAATTAAATAAAACACAAATACATAAAGAGTTGTCATAACTTATTTCCACTAGATCAAAGCCTTTGTGATGCGTGTGAACGTCTTACCCGGGCTCGATGACCTCTCCAGTGACGGACAGCAGAGTTCCTCCTCTGGGGTCATTAGGACCATCTCCCAGCAGCCCTCTGGGGGGGATACCGCCGGGTCCTAACGGGAGACAAGGCATACATTACTTAATATTCACCAACCAGGAAATGCTTCATGACAAATCTATTAGGAAAAGGTGGAAATTCCAGGTAAGGGAAAGTACACACGACTATAAAAAGGTGTTGGCTCAGGTTAGATATCTGAGGAAACAAGCAGAGCTGTGTGAGGGAGGGACACATCACACTGAGATGTCACAACACACAGAGATATAAAGGAGAGTCATCAGGAACACAAAGAATGAAGGAAAACAATTATATCAGGATGGATATTATAGGTTCAACACGTCTGAAAACACATTCAAAATGTTTTTTTCCCACACCAATACACAAGTCCTCACTTGAGAATATTTCCCTACTTGTGTCCTGTAACTCTGGTGTGTGTTGGCCAAGGGAACGTCACAACAGGAGGCATGCAGAGAGGAGACGGGTGCGTCAGAATTCAGTTACGCAAATAGCATGAATGACTACACAATAAAACAAGGCTAGACAGAGTTAACAATAGGGCACCATGTTTTTGTGAAGGTGACTAAAACACGAGTCTAATCTCCAGTCAGGTGAGCTCTACAAGAATGAGATTATAGTTACATTTCAGCAAAAAAAAAAAGATTCTTCTTGATGTAGTTTTATCCCAATAGAAATCAAGGGTGTATAACTCATTCATCGTGTTAGAACGATGCAATGTTTATTTAAGCTGGCAAATATTCATTGAAAAATCAAACTGGTTTAGTTGAATTCCGATTCAAAAGAGGGAGGAGAGCATAAGGTTGCTTTAATATTTTTTTAAAAAGCAGCTAAAAGAAATAGAAATGGTACAGGACGTGTGAGCTGCTGCTGTCAGTGGAACTGTAGTGTGGAGAAATGGCAAGAAATTAAATAAACACAATTAATCATATTTTAAATCGCGATTACGGCTTGCAACGATTACAAACACAACGTAATCGAAATAAAACGAGAATTTTTTTATTATTACTTTTTTTTTTAAATAATTTTTTTTAAGTTCAGGATAATCAACTGTTAAAAACATACTGTTCACATTTTTTTCTCTCCAATAGATGGATGTTTTCAAAGTCCATGAATAGCCGCATTTAATAATCGCAA